TTTTTTTTTTTTTCTCAAAAAGTCTCGGATTTGCTGTATGGACAAATGTATATTTGATGTTGGAATATAAAATATAGATTAGTGCTTAGAATTTTCTGGGTTGGAAAATTATTGAGATGAGCGTTCATAATTTTTCAGATAATATATCAGACTGTAGATTTCCATGTATTCATGTAGTACATATGATATACAAAAATATATAAAATATTCAAAATGCAGTGTCTGATATAATATTTATCAGGTGAAAAATATTCTCTAAATATTGAATTTATTCACATAACTAATTCATCCACTTTTATTTCGATCTTCGTTAGTGAAAACAAAATCCATTAGCATAGAATTTATTTATTTCGATTTTTATACGATTGACCATTTCCGACTTGTACGATCGAATCACAATTGTAAGAAAAAGGAGAAATCTAACCGTGGCTAGCCCTTTGATTGCCCTCTCTGATCATCTTCGTCGTAGATACATGACAGTGAAGGCTCAAGAAAAGAAAAGCTCGCAGCGTGAAGTTCAACTTGAGCGTAAAGTGAAATCCCTGGAGGAAGAACTTGAGAAAGCTCAGGCGCAATTAGACAGAAAATACCTGGCCCAGGAGGCAAAGAAAGCCAAGGTACACCTGCGTCCATATTTCGTTTATTAGTTGTAAATTTCCGTCTGCAATAACACGCCTGCAAAAATTCCAAAATCTCGCACAGACGGCGGAAGAACTCTCACTGTGGGAGAAGCAAAAGAAGTGGCAACAAACCGCCGAAAGATTGAAGGAGAAGCTGAAGGAAAAGGCAGAGGAGCACTCGAGATTATTCACGAATTACGAGAAACTTCGGTCGGTGGTCTCGTGCATGGAAAGAGAGAAACGATATTTAAAGAGTAAATTGAAGCTAGAGAGCGGCACAGTAGCTGGAAATTTATCAGCTCGGCCGATTAGCTTTCGGCAAAACATCATGGAAGATCTGCAGAAAGAGTGTCAGACGTTGCGTGAACGCATCAAGGAATTGTCGGACAGATTGGAGAACGAGGATAACGAGAAACTTTTGTTAAAGGTCGAAGAACAAAAGAGGCGTATCGCCGCGTTGGAAACAGTTTCTCAGGTTCGTTTCGTAGTTCGTTCGTTCGTTCGTAGGTGTTTGACTCGTTGTTCAATTGCTTCTCACGTTTATTATTGGTGTTTTGTAGGGTAACGGCTATGTTGTTAGTCAGTTGGAGAAATTGGAGATGACGAAAGATATTTTAGAGAAAATGAACTTGGCGTTGGAGGCCGAGAATTTCGAGCTTCGTCTCGAATTGGAAAAAGCGATTGCGGACACGCCTAGGTTGAGGGAGAAGGTTGAACATTTAGAGAAGTAAGCTTTTAGCAATACAACATATTTCATCAGACGTGTTTCACTTGAAAATTTAATAAGTGGTTCGCAGCAGAGTCTTTCAATTTTAAGAAATAATATTTTATATTCTTTCACACGCTCTAATTTCATCAATCGCTAAGTTATTCTTCGATTTGTTTATTTAAGTTGGATGAAAATTGGATTTTTAATAGGTTAGTGATAAGTCGAGCAACTATATAGATGACAAATTAGCGCTTTTATCTCACAATTTATCGTTCACATAATAGATACATAGAGCTGTTAAAAGTAGAAAAATCGTCCGACTCGACTCCACGGTCGTCCGACAAAGACCTGCAGGACCACGGTTCGAAAAAGTCCATCCTAGAAATGGAGAGGACGATCTTCACCCTGAAGGGCATCATCGAGAAGCTTCACGTGGAGAATAAACGTCTGAAGCTTGGCTCGAAGAAAAATCACATGCATCAGGCAGGGGAATGATTTAACTTCTTAACCTCTCGTTTCACATTGCTTACGTGTTTAATTTTTTTTTTCTTTTTTAAATTAACTCGGTAAATATCGTGCGTAGGGCAAAGTGTTCGTCAATGGTCGAACCGAGGCTACGTTGCAAAAAAATTACGAGGAGGCGCAGAAACGAATCGTGGCGTTACAAACTGATTTGCAATTGGCGGAGCAGAGGGTGGCCGCGTTAGAGAAGGTTCAGAAGGAGGAGGATAACGGTGAGATGAAAGTTTTGAGGGAGCAATTGTACCACAAATCCGAACTCCTGAACAAAGTGAAGCATTTATTATCGAGGGCAGCCACGAACGAGAAAACTCTTCGGCAACGTGTAAATATACGTTTTGTACGCGTTAGGGAGGGAAAGGGAGAAATATTAGTTGCACGTGAAATGGCATGTTTAAATTGTATTGTTCGAAATATTTGGTATTACTCAAGTTAAATTCTAATTTAATATTTATATTACTCGAAGTCAAAATTTAAATTATTTCATCATTTTAATTTAACTACAAGTAATTTAATGTTATTTAATAATATTTTATAGTATGTAATAGTATTTGACTTGTTCTTTAATATTATTCGCTAAATTCTGATTTCCAAACCGATTTTGGCTCGGTATTGTTTAAGTAAACCGCCGAACCTTAACTCGGATAAACAATATCATTGGCGAGACTGCTAAATGTAAGCCGAAATTGAAAACGAAAACACTTTGTTTCTTCGAGCGTCCGAGTACGTAACGACGCAGTTTCAGTTGACGAAACGTCGCGTAAGGACACAATTTCGATACGCATTACGCTCGGTAGCTTGAAATCAATTATTCCACAGTGGTGAAAATGTATCGAGGTGAGTGGAAATTATTTCGCAATTCGACGTTGAAACTTATCCATTTCACGTGCAACAATACAATAATTCAAGACGGACGGAACACAAAAGAGAGAAACTTACGAATAATTTCCAGGTACAGCAACTAGAATCGAAACAGGCGTTGTCTACGATACCAGAGTGTCGTGTAACTCCACCTACTACCGAGTGAACGACGTCTGGTATGTCTTTGTAACATCATTGTGCATTTTATTTATAATGAATATTACATGGATAGCGATAAAATATTCAATTTCACATGCGCCGTTTAATTTCTCTCCTTTGCGGCAAATCGTATCGACGTGGGTGACGTCAAAGTGTGTATCTTTGTTTTTTTTCAAATTTTATATTATAAGCAAGTAACTGGATTATGAAGTTATTTTGTTATAGTAATATCGCTAGATAACGCTGGACGTTGGGACGTTTTCTAAATTATCATATAAAAGACAAACATTTTCTCTTTGCTTCATATTTATTATTATTAATAATACTTTACGTTCAATACTCTGAATGACGACAGACAGTCACTACCAGCAAAAAACTTGGAATTGCCGTGTATTTGAGAGACGATTTCAAGAAGCTTGCCCATAAGATGTACGATTAATTTCGAGTTATTGATAATTTAGAAAAAAAAAAAAAAAAAAATTAACAGAGGAATAATTCCAAGTTTTTGGTAGACATCGTGCAATACATATACATATAATACTCGCAAGTAAGATACGAGATCGGATTTTTCCGACTTCTCACATCTTTGCGTACACGCTTCCCTGAGTATAGATAAAGGATCGATTTTACAAAAGTAAAAAAACTCGACGAGGCATTCTGTACTCAACAGAAACATAACTTGTACTTTGGTCAATATTACGATGCTGTAATTCTTGTTGAATGAATGAATTAATTAATTAATTAATCTCGACGTGCGAAACAATTCGATGAATAAAAAATTCGATGATAATATAAACTCTCAACTGCCTCGATAGTCGAATGGTCCTTTGATTCTACATGGAGTGGGACTTCCGTTTGCTAGTTTAGGCGGGGCACATTTTTAGCACACGTTGACACACGTTGACGAGTACTCGAGTACTTTAATAATCGCTATCGAGAGCTTGGAGGAACGGTTGAATCGAGCCCTCATCCTCGCAGTCGGGGATGAGCTTCCCTTTGTACTTGACGCAAGAATCGGCGCACTTCTGCCCCAGGAAGTACGGGCCAAACATTTTCTTGCACTGGGCGCAATTTCTGATGCATACCCCTGAGAAGTGAATTCGAAACACGGTGAATTCTCAAACATTCACAAAGTTGGAAAGATGAAAAATGAAACTCAGAGTGTGGTTTATAGAGTTAATTTTGTAAACATTAAATTCGCGTGTAGTTTGTTTCTTTCTTTGTAATTAATTTTCAAGTTACACTTACCTATGGCTCGGTCGAAGGGAACGCTTCCTGCAACGAGCATGAACGCCATAGCGTAAGACAGGAACAGCACTAGCAAAATACGAGTTGAAGTATTCATGACTGAAACAAATATCAATGTTCAAGTATTAATTCATTCTAAATAGCAGTTAGACCCTAATCCTTCCGAGATGGAATAATTTTTTGTCCTAATTCATCTTAATCTTACCAGTTATAGAATGTAAAATTTTCTAGACAATTTTATATAAATTTCCCAAGTATATTTCCGAATATTATCCATGTCTTTTATAAGAACACAAGAAGTTCTTGAGATGGCTCCATTCGCAATAGAATCTTACGCTCCGATCTCATCTCATTTTAATGGTATCTCCAAAGAGATACCATCTATCAAACTTATGTTAGCCAATTGCACCTTTCCACCTCGAGGAGCGTAGCAACTTTCACTCGGTCGTAAGACACTGCTGCACCATTGTTAATTACGTCTCACAATACTCAGCAGCGAAGAAAACAAAGAAACCAACCAGGATCTGCGATATGAACCAGGATAGCGACTCTCGATATCGCGCGCGGTTCATCAGCTTCTCTCTCGCGCGCGCCGTGCAATAAATCAAAAAAAAAAAAAAAAAAAAGAAAAGAAAAAAAGGAAAAGAACCAACGTATCTTCAGTAGAACGTGAATCCTAGTGAAGGTAGATCCGACAGAATACCAGGGAGAGTCCCAGCCTCTGGCAGGATGCACGATTCAAAGCCTCTTCGACAATTGATT